GCCCGCTCAGAGCAGACCTAAGGAGGCTGCTTCGCACTGTGCACAATCATTAAAGATGCAGGGCGCCGTATGGATGCGGAGGGAAGGGCCTGGCCCAGTGTCAGTGAGGCTGTGTGCTGGGATGTCTTGGGGGGCAGGGACACTCCGCTCGTGAAGGGTTCTGTCGCTGCCTGGCCTGTAATGTTGGGTGTCTTAATGTGACGCTGCTTTGGCTCAGAGCCCTGACACCTGTAGCCAGTCCCAGTCACACGTCTCCTGAATCACCTCCCTGAGTTCTCAGCTCCCAGACACAGGGACATCCCCCCCGGCTCATCACCCCTCCAGGAGAGGAACCCGCCCTCGGTTATCCGCTCAGCTTGGCACACACAATCTGCACAGCCGAGCCCTGCCAGGGGTACAAATAAACAGAAGGCTGTGTCTACACTGGCAGCCTTTTCCAGAAAAGGGATGCTAATGAGACCAGTTGGAATTGCTAATGCCCCGGGGATTTAAATTTTCCCCGTGGCATTTGCATGAACATGGCTGCCGCTTTTTTCCGGCTCGGGGCTTTGCCGGAAAAAAGCGCCAGTCTAGACAGGGATCTTGCGGAAAATAAACCCTTTTCCAGAAGATCTCTGGAAATGGGACCTGCGTACGCTGGCAAGTGACTGCGCCGAAACTTGCTGCGCACAAGGGGCTGAGAACGCTTCAGCCCGGTAACTTGCCAGTGTAGACAGGCTCCCAAGCTATGCCCCTCCTAGAGACGGTTTTCCTAAAGCGCTGGGCAGAGCTTTAATGCTGCAAGCGCACACAACGCGCTAAGTAGTTCTGGTCACGAGCAGACTGTTCTACATACACCAGCAACAGCGCGTCGGTATCAGCTCTCCTCGGGCCCTACTAGCTCAGAGGATTGCAAGCGTCCATAAAAACCTTCCTGGGGCATATTTGTAGACACAGTAACCTTGTATACAACCCATTGCTTATTCTTGGAGGTTCAGATCCCTTGCTCTCCTCTTGGGAGGTCTGATTGTCAGCGAGCCCCACCCCAGAACTGGCTGCATTTTGGTGGCGCTGAAGTTCTGAAGGGCTTCGGGGTGGGAGGCGCGTGGAAACCTACGTGGGTATGTCAAATCAGACGCGTCTGAGAGCGGTGGCACAGGGCGGGGGAGAAGGGAGCCGGGGTTAGAAATGGGCTGGGCAGCTTCTGAGAGCAGGAGCTGCGGGGAGACGCGAGGGGAGGTGGGTTGGAGGGCTGGAAAGCCCCAGGGGGGATTAGAAAGGGAACAGGAGAATCTCCCTCGTGGGAGTGAATGCCTCCGAGCTCCTGCTCCCACCGCCTCGCTGATATTCTCCATGGAACCAGATTGGTGAGCGCCAGTCACTCGGCCTGGCCGCCAGCCAAGCCCCGTTCCTGCTGGCACCAGTCTCCTCAGACAGCTTCATTAGGCGTTGGCATGTGGCTGGCTTGTCCCAGCCCGGAGCCAGCACGTGGGGCAGCGCCTAGGTACCAAAGGCGCAATTTGCTGTTCTCACCCACCCACGTATGAGCTGTGCCTAGCAGCTGCTGCTCAGCCGAACAGCCTCAGCAGGCGGGGGCGGTGGCCCCAGGATCTGTCTCCCACCTTCCCCCAGCTCATTGTCTCCTGATGGTTTCCCTTGGGGAGGAGTCTCACGTTCAGCCTCCCCTCCCCGTCAGGCCCACCCTAGACAGCACCACAGCTGCTCCCCACGTTTAAGGAAGCTGGGAGGCTCTGGGGGGAAGTGCAGGCATTCGGGTCTGGTGCAGGGACGCAGGGTGGTGCTGGGGTGCCAAGCGCAGTAGCAGGGTCAGGGCAGCTGCATTGTAAGCAGGTTGAGGGGATGCTGGGCACCTCCAGGGTCCAGGGTGGCAGGGCTCGGGTTCAGGGGCTGCAGGGCAGGAACATGGCTGGGGGGGGGGCTTTGTGGCTCAAGGAAGAGGCAGGGTAGCACTGGAGGGACGTATCCCAGCACCATTCTGCTCTCTGAACCCCACAGCCTCCCTGCAGACCTCCCCTGAACCCCAGCGCGGTTCTAGCCCCTCAAGCTCCGGTACCATTCCACCCCTCACCCCAGTTCTCAATGCCACCTACACCGCACAGGCCCCTGGGGCACCGGCCGCACGTCCCCCGGGCGCCAGGACCACACGATGTCCCGCACATATGATGACAGCGCAGCTCCTTGAACCCCAGTGCCACCCTGATGTGGGGAGGATGCGAGTGTGGGGGTTCCCCAAGGAGGCTCTGGGATTCAGAGGGGTGCACAGGCTGGCATAGGGGGGTGAAGCACAACTGGGGGCCTGGTGACCCACTGAGCTAGTTTCCCTGCAGCAACCGGGGGCTCTTGTCTTGGCAGCGTGGCTTAGGGGAGGCGTGTCTGTCTCACCCACGCCAGCCTCACATCCCCCCACCCACCCCTTCCTCCCCACCCCACCAGCCTCAGTCTCCATGCCAGAAGGATCAGTCCTGACCCCCCTGCCCCACTTTTATAGCCACTTGCCAGGAAATCAGGCCCTCTTGTCATTGGCTGCGTGGCAGTGAGGCTGCCCTCGCCTGATTGGCTCATGGCCAGACATTGATGAACGGCGTTGCCTGTGCCTGGCTGCACAGCCCTGCCCCTTTGGAGGACACCTGGGCCCCCCGCTGGAGGGAGAGTGAGCAGCAGGGGCTCAGTTTCCCTGGGGGGAGTCCAGTGGCCTAATCAGGCTGCACCCAGCCCCCTTCTGGCCCCCAGCTCCCTGGCTGGGCGGCTGGGAATGGGGGTGACTTCCCCTGAGCTCATCCAGCTCCCCAGGAGCAACCAAAGAGAACCACTTGGTCCTTACCTCTGCCCCACACCGGGAGGAGCTATCTGGGTACCCCTCACACACCCCTGAACCCCCTGCCCCGTACCAGGAGGGGCTGAGTACCCACTGGGGATGTAAACCATTGCCTTACCAGCATGCTTACTGGGGTACCCGGCTGGGCTGCTCTAGCTGCATCCCCCAGCCCCGTTTGCCCTACACCCAGATGGGTTATCTGGGTACCTACCCCTCCAGAGCCCCCTCTGGCCTATGCTGACAGAGGCTGTCTCTCCTCCTGCTTCCCCTCCCGAGTCCCTTCTTTTGTGATGGGGCTGGTCTGATTGGATTACTGTGCGCTGTCAACTCCAACGTAAGCGCCCTGAAAGCCTCCACAGGCCAGAGTACGGGGGGAGGGGAGGGGACACCGTGACATCTGCTGCGTGGGGGGGGGGGGGGCAGAGGAAGGATTCATGTGTCCCCAGTAGATGGCAATGCAGGGTCAACAGATGTAATGTCCCCCAGGGCCCCAGAGAGAACGGCGCACAGACGGAGGGCCTGCCGCCGGCCGACACAGGCTTCGCAGCGTGGTGGGAAGTCATGCGAATGGTGTACGGTGGAGTCCAGTTGCATAGATCCAGCTGCCCCCCTCCCACGGCTCAGGATTCCCCACGATGCCCAGCCCCCAGCTTCTCCCAGCACCAGCTCGAAGGCTGTCCCCAGTCCAGATCAGTCTGTGTCAGGTAGAAAACCCGTGTGAGGGGGGAGAAGAATCCCAGCAGCATTTCTGCACCCCCGGGACATGAGCATCTGGAGAGCAAGGGGACAGCCCTGGGCCACCATGGGACTGGTCCTTCCAGGGCAAGCTCCAGGGCTTTGCTGCCTTTGCATTTCCTGATTCACTGGGGCTTTTCTCACCTGTGCAAGCCCCATGTGAGCTTGGGGCGGGGGAGGCTGGGGCATGCTGCAGGCTCCACACTGCAGCTGCTGGTGTGTGAGTCTCCCCTGGCCTAGCTGTTGACATGGGAAGAAGGCCAGACAGTCCAAGTAAGCAAAGACGCGGAGGGCAGCAAAGGGAACAGCTTCACAGCTGCTGCCGCCTCTTCTGCCCACTCAACTGCCTGCAACCAGAGGCCAAAATGGAACCCCGAGGTGACAGGACCTGTCTAGTCAGGTGGGGACCACAAAGGAACCCCGCAGTCCTGGTGAGAGAAACACAACTCCAGTTCGCCCCAGGAACCGGTTCCAAGTCCCGCTCCGCTTTCACCGTGTCCTTGTGCATCAGCAGCCCCCCTCCCCATCAAGCACTGTGCAGTCTACAATGTATGTATCCCCTCGGGGAGGTAGGGCGGGTGGGGGGTTACCCCCACGGTACAACCTGGGTACCGAGTGACTTGCCTGAGGTGACACAGGCAGTCGGTGGCACAGCATGGAATGGAACCCCCATTGTCTAGTGGTAGAACCCCTAGAGCATCCTTCCTCACAGACTTGTGCAGTCAGATGAGGGCGTGGACCTCGCTAAGTTGGTGCAAAAGGGCCCCAAGGCAGCCATAAGCCCTTCCCCCCTCTGCTCCCACGCAAAAAATCACTCGATGCAGGGAGCCCCCCTGCCTACTGTGGAGTCCCGGCACCACAGGCCTCAGGGGTGACGCGGGGCAGGCTGCTTAACGCTCTGCAGAAAGGGTCTGCCAGCAACAAAGAGGGGAAGGAGGGAGAAGAGCCACGGAGAGGGAAGCCAAGAACAATGGCTGCATTGCACACGCTTTCACTGCCTGCGGCATGTTTCCACCCCTCCCTACCCTCCGTGACTCACTTTACCCCCTACCCTGACCTCCCAGTCAATGGTTCACCTCTGACAGACACACTGACAGTGACAGAGCTACAGACAATGGACCCGGAGGAGCCTGACAAAACACACGGCTTCCAAAGCAGGGGGAGGGGGCGGATGGGACATTGCAGTGTCACTAGGGAGGGGCCCTGGAAAGGTCCCACGTGGATCTGGCTCAGCAGAGACAGCTCTGGATCTCAGCTAGCTGCATGCGGGGTGCACACCGACGGCCCGGGGAGGGGAAGCCGGAGAGCAGAGGCCAAGAGGGCAGAGAACAGAGCTCCTCTCCCAGCCGGATGATGGCAGCTGGTCTCGGAGCCCACTGCTGGGCAGCCCAAGACTGAAGTCATGGTCCCAAGGGCTGGCTAACCATCCCTGGGCTACCTCCACTCTTACCTCTCGGGATGGTCCCTCCGGATTGAAGCACATGGGGAGGGTGGGAAGGAGAAAACTCTCTGTGCTGCACCTGTTCAGAGGAGAAAGAGGCTGTTTTGTCTCAGGGCCGTGAACCTGGGGCCTTCCGCCCGCGCGATGTTCTTATGTTCCAGCTACGCGCCCCCGTGGCTGGTAGCACGGCTCATGACTTTGCAGGACTGTGGTGGTGGTGGGGTGGGGTCTGACATACGATTTTGAATATTTGGGGTTGGGTGGGGAGAAGGCTGCTGGTGGAGCGACGCCGCTCCCTGTCATGCTGACCAAACCTGTCTCATCGATTCCTTGCACTGACCCCTCTGTTTATCTGTATCTGTCTGGCTGCTCTTGTCTTAGATGCTACGCTCTTTGGGACTTTTTGCTCTATTTGTACAGCACCTAACACCGTGACCTCCTGGTCTGTAAGTAGGGCCCCTAGGCAGTGGCGGATCAGCCACTGGGCCAACAGAGCCCGTGCCCAGCTACCCCAGCCAACTGGGGGGGGGGGCCTGGA